ATCAAGGTGTTTATTTTCCGTAGCTCTAACTCGTAAAGCCAGCCCAAAGTGCTCTGTGTTGCCCTTAGGAGCGCTGAAGAGAACCTGCTGCTCCCCCTGCTCGTATGGCCTCCGATGGAGACAAGGCACTGTCACTTTCAGGGTGTTTTCCTTTTAGAACACAGAATTAACAGGTGTATTCCTACCTTGTGCTTTCCTCGAAGGCTCAAGCTCAGGCATAAATTGCACTTTGAACAGTGGAAAAAATCCTCCTTTGGCCCGATCCTGAGGAGAAAAGCGTCAGGCCGGTGCCGGCTACCTCCCCGCACCGTTCTTCACCCGAGCAGGGCGCAAGGGTCCCGCCGGCCCCCTCACGCACCTGCAGATGCCACACTCGGGGCAGTGGTACTGCTTCTTGTCGCTGTCGAAGAGGTGGCAGATCCCGCAGTAGTACTCGCCGAAGAGGTTGTCGCAGCCCTCGCAGCGCTGCTGGGCCTGCCGTCGCACCGGGAAGACGAGGAGGAACCGGGAAGAGGGTCGTTAGCAGCGCAGCCGGCCCCACACAACATGGCGCCCCTCCCCCAAGATGGCGGTGCACCCTTTCCCATCGGACCCACCTTCTGCAGGAGGCGGCAGCGGGTGCACTTCACCTCGGCCACACGGAAGCGGTCTAGCCGGTGCTCCTCGGCGCCGTCGTGGCACAGCCGGCAGGCGTACAGCTTCCCGCAGCACGGCGCCTACGAACGGCAGAGAACGGATCGGCTCGGTTCGGAATGAACCTTCCGGCGCCAAGACCCGCCGCCTCCCGCCGCCCCACCGCCTCACCCGCAGAAGGCAGCCGCGCCGGTAGTGCTCACAGCCCTTCTCCCCGGCCGCAGCCATAGCTGTCCCCGCCCTGCCGCTTCCGCCCCGCCCGCCGCTCCCAGTGCCGGAATAGTCGACGCAAGCGAGCCCCTTCCTGAAAGACTGAGTTCGCCCCTCCCAAAGCCTTCCGTCTCCCTAAAAACCTCTTGGGTCTTGCCCCCTTCTTCTCTAAGTCGTTCTTGCCCCTTCCTGAGCCTTAGAATGGTTCATCCACTTCCAGTCCCCTGCCCGTGGCAGGGACACGCTCTACTTGACCAGGTTCCTCCAAGCCCTGTCCTTCTGCCCTCTGCTAAACCCTTCTTTTCCCCCAAAACCACCTTCTATTTTTTTTTTTGCCATCCCGCAAAAACCGCCTCCTTCCCCCTAAAAACTTTCCTTCACCCCCTAAACCTTGGTCCCCCTTCAGCCTTAATTTCCTCCCCCAAAAAAACCTTTCCCCCAAAATATTCCTTCCCCTAAAAGCTTTTTTTCACTCCCTCTCACCATAAACTTTTCCCCAAAAAACCTTCATTTTCCTCCACTTTCCCTGAAAACCTCTCCTCCCTTAAACCTTCCTTCCCCCCCCAAAAAAAAAATTTTTTCCCCCTGCCGTAAAACCTTCCTTCTCCTCTCCCCTAAAATCTTCCCAGACCTTCCTTCCCCCCTCCTCACACCTTTTCCCAAACCCCTCCTTTTCTCCCCTCCCCTAAAAATCTTCCCCAATAAAACTTCCTTTTCCCCTCCTTCTTCCTAAAATCTTCTTTCCCTCCCCAAGCTTTCCTTTTTTTTCCCCTCCCCTAACACCTTCCTTGCTGTCCCCTCTCCCCAACAACCTTCTTCCCCCCAACCTTTTTTCCCCTCTCCAAACCCTTTTCCCACCCCAATCTGCCTTTCCTACCTGCCAGAAAACTTCCCCCCCACCAAACTTCCTCCTTTCCCCTCCTCCACTAAAACATTCCTTTTTTCCACCCTCTTCCCTGGTCCCCCCTCCACAAATAACAAACCCCAACACCTTGATGCAGCACAGGAGAAGCAGCCCAGAGCCAGAGAATGGGGCCATTTCCCTGCCTGTTTTATCTGCAGGAGCCGTTTGCCATATCCAAGGGAAGGACCCACACACAGCCAGTGGGTGCTAAGCCTGAGCACTGTGATGCTGTGAGAAGCTCCATGTCCTGACTAGGTGCTGCTCCATCCATCTTCAGCTTGGGAAACCCTCAGCAGGTCCACTTCAGGCAAGCAGAGTGGTTATGTTTGCCCCTGGGCATGGTCAGCAGTGTGCTGTGTGAATGCTGCTGAGGGGAACCTGCACTTGTAAATGGCTGCAAGAAACTTGGTATCAACTATTAAATAAAAATGGATTTAAAAGTCCTGTTTTTCAGTGCAGGTAATGCTGCCACTACAAGTGAGCTGACACAACACTGATGTATCAAAGCTGTCAGAGACCATGGGAAGGAGAAACTACAGCTGGCAATTAAGAGTGACCTGTCCCTGACTGGTACTTGGAAGATGTTGGAACTGGCAAGGAACAAGGACGTCAGAACTGGAAAGAGGATGTCAATAAGAAAATCAGCTGGACCTTTCACCTGATGTAACCGCAAGGCAAACACAGATGTGCTTGGCTAATTGCTTGGAAGCATATAAATATTGTGCAATCTTTTCAATAAACAATCCAGCTTGCACTCTACCTCTGGGTCTGTGCCTCCATCCTCACACACTGACTCCAGGGAAGACCAAGCGAGCACAGCTTACATTTGTACTTGTACCAAGGGATTTGGGATTTAAATATCCTTTTACTTACAAATTTTAATATGCACATCAACACACAGGATAGCCACAAAGCTTTAAAGACAATGACATCCATACCATATTCCACATTGGTGGGAAAGACAGTTAAAAGTTCCAAAATCGACTATACCGTGCAGTAGGGTAAGCTATGACAGCTGAAAACAGGCTTGTGAGCAACACAGGGACACTGCAGATCTGACTTTGAGCAGTTAAGCAAAAACAGTCTCCTAACAGTCCCAAGACAAAAGTGATGCTGTCTCTCTCTCCCCACAACCTGCTATGCCAAGTTCTACACATAAATGCCATGTTTCCTTAAGGGATTGAGCACTTTGTTGAGCTACTGAGTGCTCACAGAGGCCATTTCCCTTGCCACTAACAACCCATCTCACCCACTGCTTGCTGGTGTGTCAACTCGCACTGATACTCTTCCTTCACCACTAAGAGCAGCCAGTCAGCTGGCCCACTTAAACACCCAAAAGACAACCATCCAAATGAACAGGTTGGGGGAAGTTGCTGAACACCAGGTCACACATGCTGCTGAGTGTTAGCAAGGGTTTCAAAGGAACAGCTGGAAACACACATTTAAACATTTTATTTCTTGCACGAATGTTTTCTTTAAGGCCAAAGTGTTTTCCATCACATATTTGGTAGTGCACCAAGGCAAGTTTAGCAGCCATCCACTCTCTTGACTACTCATTTAGAAAAGAAACCTCCAAGAGGGCAGCAGTTCAACAAAAGAAAGTGCAGCTTTCTCCGAAAATCCTCCAAACCAGCATCTGCCCTTGTCACACACCAAAAGTCACTATTCTCAGACAAGACCAAAAAGTCAACATTTCAGGAGCTGCTTTGTGTGCAAGAAATCCAGCAGCAATGGCAGTGCAAGCTCTGCCCTGGGGCTGTGCATGAGCCCTTTCCATGGCAGCCCACTGTGCTGGCAGGAGGGTGAGAGATCCTCCTCAGAGAACTCGCAGCCTTAGCACTGGTAACTCAGGTGGACTGTTCCCACCCTTTTAGCCACCTGCACTAAGAGGAGCAAAGCAGAATGATATTATGGGCAGACTAACAAAACCACAGAGGTTCTCCCTGATTATAATCCTCCTTTATTTTGATTTATTGCCTTGCTAACACCATGCACCTACGCCTGTGTGCTTCACAGATGAGACAACTTTCTTATTCCCCTACTTCTACTAACAGGACTATTTCCCATCCCGATGTTTTTTCTCCTTTCTTCCAATATCATGTAGTTTGACAAATACACTCATACAGACAAGGAGCACATGCAGCACTGGTGCCTGGTGGTTCCTTTGGCCCCAGAGAGAATCCCTAGAGGGGGCAGGTATGTGATCACATGCGTAGCCAGAGCCCTGAGTAAAGCCCATCTATGCAGGACATGGTTCCAAGAGAGCTGGTGAGATTTTGGAGCACAGGCTCTGAAGACACTTCTAAAGCACCTTGTCTCCTTCCCTCTTTCTTCTCCCCAGTTTATGCTCCCTCAGTCCCTTCTGCTCAGCTTCAGCAAGGAAAGAGAGGCAATTCTGGCAGTAAAAACCCTAGGTTCAGCACTGCAGTTCCCACATACAAGAGAATGATACTAACTCCAACAGGTACAGCAGATTCCTTGGAAGATCCTGAGCACCAAGTAGAAAAAAAGCAAAACGGCAAACAAAACCACACGATTTTTTCCCCTGAGTGTTCTTTCAGACAAAATGACTTAAAGACCTGTATGTCTTTCAATATGCAAGATGAGAAACTATTAAAACCATATTTAAAAGCCTCAGCTTAAAACAATCTGGAATGGTAAAATGGAATGCTAAGTGATAGTGCAGATGAGTGGCTGAGTTCAAGCTCAGTCCTTCAGACTACAAGTCAACAAGCCATCCACACAGCCAGGACTTTTCCTAAGCCTCCTTCTCTCCCAGACTCCTACCTCATGCTCAGAGAGGTATCAACAGCTACATGAATTTAGATTGCATGACTTAATTTTTAAACATTTTCACTAATGTTAAGTTTGACAAGCGCTGCCCCCCACCCCCCCCACCCCCCTGGCAACACTGTTCTCTCTTCTCCCTTCCATTTTCCCTGGTGCCCTTGACAGTGCTGTACATGCATTTTCCCACTCCTCATGTGAAGGCAAACAACTTCCCCTTTTTGTTATTCTACCAGCTTGCTCCAACCCAACATCATGAGCTGGGTAATTTCCAACACCAATGCCAAGCATGCACAAAACTATCCATTTGAAAGCCATGAGAAGGCTCTGGGAAGGTTTTTGTAAAAAAAAAGGTAGGAATCTATTAAGCAATGGCCATAAAAAGGCAGAGGCAACATAATGTGCTTGTACATACCACGTGTATGCAGAAATTAAAGCTAGACAGCAGAAATGAGAGCCCACCTTTTTACAGGTAGGTGTGATCTTCTCCATGAGGCTAGTGCTCAGCTCTGGGGAAGCTGCCTTCTGATGCCTCAGGCATTAAAGTCCCTGACAGCTGCAAATTGGGGAAGAAAAAGCCAGAGACGGTCAATTTCCAGGTCTAGTATAAATGGAGAGGACAATCAGAAACTGCCTGATAGAGAAATGCAACGCCAACATGTAACTTAAAACCAAACCTATTATTTGATCAAATCAGACTCCCAAAATGTTGTTACCTGCTGTGAGGCCAGACTTGGGTTATGGAGATCAATAGCAGCAAGGGAGGCGACACAGGACTCTGAAACGGTTTTATTTTCTTTTTTGAGGTATCTGGGGTGCCACGCTGCAAAAGACAACCAATGCATACAGTGTTAAGGAAGCAAGAGCTAGCTGCTGCAACACACATTGCTTCCTGCCATTCATTTAGTAACCAGCTTTTATTCAGAGGACATCATACCTTCCACTCCTCTCAGCTCAGGCAGATGGTTTAGCTCTGGCAAATGCACATTTGTCTTGGAGAATTCCCATTTTCTCCTATTTGCCTGAAGGATGTTTTTTTCATTAGTAACCTGTAATCAAGGGCATAAGTACCAGCTCATGAAAATACAGGAAAAAAAAAACAAACCAAAACCAAACAAAAAAAGCCAAAGCTATTTTCAAGCTTAAAAATGCATAAACACAGCAATGTTCTGCTGTAGTTGGAACTTGGGGAAGAGCAAAAGAAGCAACTCTAATGTGTGTGATGGAATCCATTCTGCTCAAGTGTTATTTATACATTATAAATAATGGAACAGCCGCAGCAAGACAACCCCAAAGCAATCATCTAAGGGAGACTGCTTTCAGAGGGACAAAATACACCACCTGGAGAATGTCTTGGATTAGTTAGGTGTAAGAAAGCAAATATTCCTGTTAGCATGGAAAGAATATTGCTTAGGTAGTTTGTGCAGTGTAAAGCTTTCCAGTTCACTTGTTCTCATTATCCATTTTCAATGCATGTATGACATGACTAAATAAGGCCCTGCCCATGTTAAACCCAAATCCTCAATTCTGCTTTAGAGGCACAGCACACAGGGTCTGTTTTTTTTGGCTGTGGATTTATTTCAAGTCTCACAGATACCCATGAGGACTGCTCCCTCATTTAAAATTGTCCTCTGATACAAAGTATGTTCCATATAAGATAACTGTTAGCAAGGGATAACAGATAACACATTGGTAGGTCAAAAGGGGTGAAGAATAGAGTATTTCTAGTTGGGAGCCATGGTGAAGGCTGCAACAGATGGGATTCTTGACAAGAAAATACGTGCTTGGGTTCAGAATTGATTTCTGCTTTGACAAAGGGGAAAAGCAGATGACTTACCAAGGTCAAGCTTACACTGTAATGGCTTGCTGGAGAATGCTTCCACTGCCTTACAAATGGGTTCAAGTATTTTTTTACTCTTTTCATCAACTCTGTAATGAAAAACACCACAAACTTTGTATCAACTGGTGAAAATAAAAACAACAAATGCAAGACATCCAGAAACGTTGTCATGAAATGCTTAGGAAGATGGCTCACAGGGAAAACATCCTTTTGTGAGCTCACTTAGCAGAGAAACGTGGTCCAAAGGACAAGCCACAAGCCAAAGAAAACCAAGTGCCACAGCAGCTGGTGGAACTGCTGCTGTTCAGGAGCTTTGCCCAGTGCTGAAACACACTCACAGCTGCTTGAGGTGAAGACAATCCTCCATCCAAGGGCTGTTCCTAGCCATGTCCCATCGCAAACACACATCGCATGTTCCACCATCATCACCTTACACCTCTCTCAGGCCATTTCAGTCCCTCAGCAACAGGGATGATAGATATGAACTCCTCTAGCTCTGCTCCCATACCTGTATTTAAGGCTCCCAGGCAAAGGACCCATCCCAACTGCAGTGGGAGAAAAGTTCTGGTTGCTGGGGGGAATAACTATGCCTGCATTCTTGACAGAGTCCAAGCTGCTGCTGGAATCTTTGATACTGGTTTGAGAGCTTATTGTAAAAGGGTTGATTGCACTGTCGTACAGGGAGCTCAGGTTGGAGATCGGTCTGCTCCTTCTGCATCAGTTTTCGAGTGCTTTGCCTTGAACAGCTTTGCATCTCTGCTCTTTGGCTCAATGCTAAAATCCTGTTTGCAAATAAAATATCGTCTTTCCCCTACAATCATGCTTACAAAGTAGCTTAGAACAGTGCATGCAGGAATAAGAAGTCAAAAGCCTAAACCTGCATGATTCTGCAGGGACCTGACAGAGATGGAATTGGTTTTAGTAGAAAACCTCTGTTTTTCATCAAACAGGAGACTTGCCAGGGTTCCAGCACCCTCTGTAAATAAGTCACTTTAGAATAGAATCTGATGGAGGATATCCTATCTGATTTAGATAGGAAATGATGAAGGAAGAACAGTCATATCTCATGTCACTTTCAAATAAATCAAGTGAGAACTGAGCCCAGTGTTACCTCAAAGTCACTCTGAAGCCTCTACTCCTTGGTAGCTGGTTGAAAGGAAAATACGTGATTTTGGAGGCAGGGCTTTAACACAGGTAAACAGCAGCATACAAGCATGTTTTTGTGATTCAACATGAGTTGATGATTCCCAAAGGATTCTCCCTTCAGCTCCGTATGTGCAGTGTAGTTTACCTGCAAGGGACTGGCCCAAAGGCCACTTGCAGACTGCTGAGCCAAGTACTAGAGCAACCTCATAGCTGCCAATCACCTAGAATCAACGGCACACAACTCCTACACAGCAGCCCACAGGCTGCACTGTGCTGGGTGTCAGAGCTGTGGGGGCACAGGCACAGTGTATTCCCCTGGATCAGGTGACAAGGTCTTCAGTGCTGTTTAGACTCACAGTAGCCTCCAAAGGGGAGGCACAGCACACTTACCTAGTCTTTTTTTTTCTTTTAATGAAATGGACAATTATGCTTATATTTTTTCTATGAACTTACACTGCTGCACATACTGATTTTAAAACATGTGAAAAAAGAATATTGGAAAACAAAGATGGACCAACCTGGACAACAAGGATTTTTCTTTCTTCTAAGCTATCATCTTTGTCCCTTTTGCTGATTTTTTTTTTTTAATTGATGGTTTCTGGCATCTTTCTGAATCTTTGATTTAAGCTCCTGAGTGAATCTATATTCCACATGGAGAAAAAACAAAAACAAAAGGCTTCTGTTAATCTCAATATCCTCATCAGCTGGTCTTCAGCCCAGGCTCTGATAGCTTTTTAGGTAACCAAACCAGCCATGCCTTTTTAACTAATGAGAAGCCAGCCAAAAATGATGTATCCATTAAAACAAAGAAAATCTTTCAGGCACATGCTTTTCAGATTACAACAATGAAGGTGTTTGTGTCCCAGCCTGGTGTGGATGCCGACACATTGCATGCACACAGTGTAAGACTAAACTACCCAATATGGTGTGCTGCTGGTTGTGCACGCTGACGAATTAGCGTCATGACCAGCTAATGAGGCAAACATGCTGCTGCGCTGTGTTACCTTTCAACTGTTCTCCTATTTCCAGGAAGGCTAAACCCAAACAAAACCAAGACATCCAACAGCTGTCAGCTCTGCAAAGCCAGCATAAAATCTTTAAGTGCAGCTGCTTAACCTCCTTCTAATATTAGCCTGCTTTGAGTAAGACAGGAACTGTTTACCTTTCAGCAAATCCATCCTTGTTGAAGAAATCACACTCCAAGAGTTCAGCACAGTCTTTCGTGTGGGTCAATCTGCAAACACTTCTGTGAAAGCAAGGTGAACATGAGAAGGCAAATATATTAGAAATGAAATAAAGGCTAACATTTCTGAGTGAGAAGGCAAGAAAATACTTCAGTCTCTCCCCTCTAGGACTTGTTATATTGAAATGAGCCCAACCACTGCCAAAACCATTCTGTGTAGTAAACACAGAACTGGCTGCTTCCATCCTAATCACCAGTGCTCACAGCAACTCATTGCACATATCACTCTGCTCTCAGTAAACCTCCATTGTTTCAGTTACCTTTGTCTGGCTGAGGCTTTACGCCCTCTTTTGACCATCAGCCATTTCAAATACAGCCACGTGGGTTTTAGGTTGTTTTAGTTGCCCAGCTCCAGACTACTGTGTGAAAGGACAAAAAAACCCAACCCCCAACTCCCTGGAAGGATTCTTCGGAGTCTATTCCAAAGTTATAGGCTTCCTAACTCGCACACAGCAGACACATCCCTCCACCTGGAAGGGATCCAGGCATGCTTCTTTGCAGTGCCTCCGCCAGCAGATAGAGGTAGGGTTGGCAGAAAACACTGTATCCACACAGCTCTGCTAGCCAGTAACAAGTAAGCTTATGATCTACAAAGCAACCTTAGGTAGCAGATGAGGAGCAAAGCTTGTTGGGAGATGAGTTGAAAGATCAGATGATGCTTTCAACACACCAGTCCTTCTTCACCTTTTTAATCTCCTTGGAAAACTTAATCAGTGGGGCACTGTATGCTACAAATCCTCCCTGGAGGATATGCACTGACCATTTTGGCTCTGGAGATGGCTGGCTTAGTCTTGCCAGTCACCCAGGATGGTTGCTGTTGTAACCTTGCAGCCCCACTAAGCCACCAACCCGAACAGTTGATCATGCATCGGTAGTTGAGAGAAAGCCACTTTAACAGCCACAGCCCTTTCTGTAGTCTGTACTCTGCTCCCCAAAGACAAGTAAACAGAGAAACATTCATAGTAAACCACCAGTTAATTACCTTGGCTAAATCTAGCACTGCAGCAGGGAATTTGGGATAGCATTTGTCCAGATATTTGGCCTCCTTCACTTCAGGCAACCTCATGCCAGCAAAGAGGGCATTTTTATAGGATAACTCTTGGTGTCTTGGAATTAAATTACCCGGTGCTACACAAACAAAGCAACCATCACGGAAGAAATACAGGACAGTCCGGTGAAACATTTAAGAGGCTGGAACACTTTGTCAGCACTACACTTAAGGGCTATAGTCTGCCATGAATTGATACTGTACTCATGAATTCTTAGATTGCCATTTGTAAACGGTGCTAAGAGCACACGCTCTGGGACAGTTCAGGATACACAAACAGGTTTTCCCCCAACACCTTCCTTCCCCGCATCAAAATGTATCTGACCCCTCCATTAGTAAACAGGTATGAGGATCCTGACAGGCTATTCTTACCCAGGCATTTGGTCATATGGTAGATCTGGTCAATGTCTGAATCTCCTGGGTCCCATGTCCCTATCTCTTGCTTTACCCTGTTTTGAGGGAACAATGGGTTTTCTCAGTGCCGTGGGGTGCTCAGTGGTGAGAGGGGTGGGATGGGCCTAAGGAAGCTAAGAACCACTGGTGGGTGGCAGGGGACAAACAATCCACCCTGGCTCAGGGCAGTGTCCCAAAATCTTGTACTGGCTTGTACCCCATAGCATTTCCCTGCCCTGCCCTCACGAAGGAGTCCGCATTCTCCAATAATGGGTAGGGCTTTGCAGGGGTCTCAGCAGGATCAGACACCGCCCCCAGACAGACTCCATGTACCCTGTGCCTGTCATGCAGCACTGTCAGCACCCCTCTCCCCCCATCCCACCAATGCAGCCCCTTGATGCACCGGTGACGTGTGCTACTTACAAGTCAGGCACCCTCATGCCAAGTTGCTGGACATAGAACAGGCATCGAGAATGAGCCAACAGCTGCCTGGGCAGGGGAGAAAAGGGCTGGGTGACCTGGGAAACCTGATTTTGAACCTGGCTTATCCCTAGTACCACAGCAAAGTCCCAGCCCGCTGGCTGGTTACCGGAAGAATGGGGGGAGGATGAGGGAGAGCAGTTGGATGTTGTCTCCAAAACCCACCACCATCAGTGGGAACTACTGCCATGGACACCCAGAGCACCATGGGAACTGGGTGTGCGGGCAAGGACAAAGTGGGAATGGGGTGAGTGCTGTCCTGAAGCCATCACTGTCCCCATCACACTCGCTTCTTAATCCCAGCCGCATTGTCAGTCTTTGTCAGCTGTGCCTTCTCCTTGAGCTGCTACAGGAATCTTTAGAGCGATACTGCCTTGGGCCACCATGCCCTAAAGGTGCCAGTTTTGCCCAGCGGGGATGAGCCACCCCTCTCCTCGGAGGCCATCTCTTCCTGCAGCTGCTGCTGGACTTGCTGCAGCTCCTGATCCTGGACTATCAACTGGCTCAGCACCTCCTGGCCCTGCTCCAGGGAGGAAGAGTACATGGTAGTGCTGTGCAAAGGGGGTGGCTGCACCCCTGGGAAGAAAACGGCTTACTGGGCTAGTGGCTGCAGGCTCTCAGTGCCAGCAGGACATCTGCAGCATGGCTTGAATTTCTCTCCGTGCTGCTGACTTGTACAACCCAATCTGGGGGGGGAGCCAGGGGCTCCCCCCCATTACACTGAAGCACAACCAGGTGAGGGATAAGGGTGGTCCCGGCAGCCTGCTCCTAAGCCCCACATGCCACCATCTCCTTACCTGGCTCCTCTGCTTCTCCAGCTTGCCCTCTTTCTGCCTCGAAAGGAGGGAGTCTTCCTGCTCTTGCAGCTTCTTGTAGCGCTGCAGGAGATTTCCCACCTGCATGCTGGTGTCCCTGCACACGGGTCACACTGCCTGCCTCTCTGCCTGCTCCTGTCCTGCACTCTTCACCATTGCCCTCAGCTCTTCCAGCTTCAGGAAGGGAAGAAGGAAGCAACTCTGAGATGGGACAGATACAGTCAGAAACCCTGGGTGCTGTGGAGGCTCCATGACGCCAGCCAGCCAGAGGATGTGGATGGGAAGCCCCGCCAGGACCACTGCACCAAGCTGGTGGGTGGTGGGAGCTCCCCCTGCACCTTGCCTGCTCCTTCAGCTCCTGCTTTATCTCCTGGAGCATGGACCTGCCCAGCGAAACAGGGGCATGGGTGGGTTTTGCTGGGGATAGTGCAGAGTACCCTGGCTCTAGCCTTGCTGCTGCAGTTCTGTCCATAAACAGGCTCCACTTTGCCACCTCTTCCAAGATGGGCAACAGATGGCAGCCTGCCGCCACCAAGACCCCACATCGAACATGGACACCCCACATGGAGTAAGCTCAGCGCTGGGGCTCAGGGAAACAACACACAGCGTGGAGGCCCTGTCAGGACAGCCACTCCAGGGACACAGAGTGGAGCCCCTACCGCTCAGCCTTCCAGCCCACAGAGAAGGTCTGGTACCCTTGATACTGAGCCCAGCAGCCCACGGAGAAGGCCTGGAGCTGCTTTCACCCAGGCCAAAACCCCACGGAGAAAGTCTTGGCCTGCTCCCACCCAGGCCACCAGCCCACGTTAAGAGGCTGGAGCTGCTGGCACCCAGACCACCAGCCCAGGGATGCAGCCCAGAGAAAAGGTTGCCTGGGCAGACCTTGAGAGAGCAGGGACTCAGCCAATAGCCCTGAGCTTCAGCATTGATGGATGGACCAGCTGCAAGAGCTGTACAAGTGTTTGGAATCCTCAAGCTGCAGCACTTCCTCCAACGCCTCCATAGGTTTGCTGGAGGCTGAGGCTGAGATTCTTCACAGTCTCTATGGTGTCCTAAAGAAGCAAGCGGCTCTGCTGAAAAGCCACAGAGTTAGACTGCGCTGAGCTGGAGAAGCTGAAGGCCGAGCTGCTGCTCCTCCAGGAGGGAGGTGGGAGCTTTGGGGGCTGGTGGGGTGTTTGACACCTTGGGTGGGGGGTCGTTGTCCTCAGAGCCTGGCCGTGAGGTTGAGACCCCCCTCACTGACTGTGTGTTCCTTGGCCCATGTTCTTGTAGGCCGGGAGAGCATCACCATCATGCTGGATGAGCTCTGGGGCCAGGTGTTGTCCTGCTAGAGAAAAGTAAGTGGTAAGTGACTGGAGGCTAAAATCAGCTTGTCTTGGGGGAAGTGGCAAAAGTGACTCGTCCAGAGGCTCCATGTGTCCTTGGCATAGACTATCTCAGGAGAGGATACTTCAAAGACCCAAAAGAGTACTGATGGGCTTTTGATACTGCTGCTTTGGAGACAGGAAATTGAGCAGCTGTCCACCTTGTCTGGTCTCTCAGAGGATCCTTCTGTTGAGGAAATGTGGCTCTGCTCCGTAAGACAAGTTATCTTCTGTTAGCAATAGAAGAAATGGATGGACTGACATGCTGTTGACATGGAATTTAACCTGAGAGCAACAACTCCATAGATCAGTGATTATCAGCAACTATGAGTGCATGAGGATTGAAAAAAAGCAGAGGCAGATGAATTTCTTCCTTTTGAAGAGGGAGGGGGAAAGGATTTATACTGGCATCTGGCGTTTTTACATTCTTATATGAATCTTGGCACCTTTGAAAATGAGGGGAGACTAGAGAAAAAACAAGAATTAAAGTTCTGAGTATTTCCAAGCACTCCTTTCACCCTCAGCACACAGACACACACACACAGAGTCCTGCTGCCCAGCTACAGAGGGCTGCTTCAAAAAATCACACAAATACTTGTATACATTACTCAAGCTCTGAAGGTGGGTTTTCTGATACAACTAGAAATGCCTTCCTTCCCCACCTCTCCCTTTTTCTCCAGTAGAAAGTTGCCCAGTAGGAACATTTTAAGTTGAGGTTTTCCCATTTTTCACCAGCAGTGGCATAGATGGATGATGATTGAGGCAAAGGTTTTAAGATCATTTTCCAAAGAATGAGAAATAAGCAGAAGTTGGAAAGCTTTGTATTCCACAGGAGGCTGATCTGTCAACAAAATTCAAGTAACAGTTTTCAGGCAGCAGACATTTTCAGTCTTGGTTTGAGCTTTAAGCACCCTACAGGGCACAGATATAGTTTTTAGAAGTTTGTATGTACTTCCATTAAATTTCTAAAAGCCCTTTATGAATCCACATGTTACACACAAATATCTTTAAATCTCAAAAATGATCCTGGTTTGTAGGGCACCACTTTTTTTTTACAGCAAAACAGGTGGTATCTCAGCTTGGCTTTCAGGACTGTTAGTCTGGATTTCTAGGAATAAATGAAACCAGGTTTTACTGCTTTGATTGAACAAATTTTGTTGTACTGATGCATCTGAAAAGTTGGGAGTGTGTGGGGATGGTAAAACCTCAAAATAAACCAGTATGTGACTCTGTTGGTGTTGCTTACAGCATTATTCAAAGTTAATGCAGAGGGGCATGTCTGCATGACTGGCTAAAGCAGAACCTGACCTCATGCATGCTGTTTTACCCAGAGATAGCTCTCAAAACTGTTATTTTATCTAATACAATAATATTTATCTACTATAGTAATAAGAGTGTTCTTAATTCCTGGCTGTCTGGACAAGTCAGGAATTTTCCCGTCATTGCATGGGAGTGTATTATATGTACAATGTCAATAATATGTATAGACATAAACAGTATTTCACAAAGAAGCATCAGAATCCCTTATCAAATGGAAAGTAGTAAACATTGGAGAATGATCAGATTACTTTCGATTTATACAAAGATAAGTTATACTAAGTTTCCATTTACAATGAAGTATAAAGTAGCAATGTAAAAGAACCCTAAAATTTACTGCCAAGGGAGCACCGATGTTCTTTAGGTGAGGTAAGGGATGACAGAAGAGAGCACCACCACTTCACAGGCCATTAAAGGATACAACCTAACCTCCAATGGACTTGCAAATTATGCATTTCACAGCCTCATTTATGGACTCAGATCACGGTGTACCATTCTAGATCACGCTTTTCCCCCAGTCACAACTGTAAGCACCCTTTTACAGTTTTTCAGTTGGACCCATTGAGAGCAAAAATGTTTAGAATACATACGCATTTCAACCCTGTAATTTACTGTGAACCCTAAAAATAAGAGCACACTGGCCCTGTTCTTTAACAGTAATTAATCCACTTTGAAGATGATGGAGACACAAATATTTGTGCATGCCTTCAGAGAAGTGTCCGATCGAAAAACTGATGCTGAGTTTAAAGTCCTCTGTAGGGACCCAGCAGGCTCTGGATCTGGCCCTGGCTCTTATAACCCTCCAGAAAATGGCAACACCACATTTTCAACTCATAAAACATATCCAAGCAGGATGGTAAATTAAACTTGGTGTTTACAGACCACACCTCCAGCATCTGTACACCTCTTGTACAGCACTTTTTCAGCTTCCACATTTTGCAGCATAACAATGCCATTTACAGGGCAGTAGACTGGCATTTAAGGTTGAACCCAAGAATTAACCTGTAAAAACAGCACATTATGCATGCATTGCTAATTGCTAATATGCTTCCAGATAACGAAATCTGAACATGGTTGAAGAGTTCAGTGACACATGCAATGTTTGAATCTTAATCTCTTCAGAGTCAGAATCTGGCTGGCTCTTCCATATTTTTCTTTTTTTTTCCAAAACAGAATTGCATCTCAGTCTGCATTTTTCCTGAACTTGCAGCTGAAGCTTCCCAGTTCTCAGAGCTGCAGGGAGCACATCTTGAAGTATTAGAGCCATGTCAGATTTCCAAGCTCTCTGTGTAGTTCTTCTCTTCTGGCATTTAGCTATTTGTGCTCCAGCAGTGTGCCAGCATGCAGACATAGAATAAACTGAGCAAGCAGTAGTTGTTTGATTTACCTAAAGCAGAGGGCAAACAAGCCCTATATTAGCTTAGGAAGAAAAGTGGGATTTTTATTTTTTTTTCCTGGAAATAATATGGCAATATCATTTTCCAACATTTTACTCCTCATCTTTATATAATATATAATTTTCTCAACCATTATCCCAACATTAGAATAGCCCACAAAATATTTTCCAACCCTTATTTCAGAATGTAAATTAGAAAGCTATTTTTAATGGCTTATTGAAAGTTACCATATAAAAAGAATGCTTTTCCCATTCTCAAAACCCGGGTGATGCTACTGTCCATTTCCCAATGCAGAATGCACACTGATCTCTGAGCTGAACAAGGCAAAGTGCCTTTTCAAATTCCTTTTTGAAGCAGGCTGATCATAGAACTTGACTTCAATGTTGCCATTGCTGAATGCCTCCCTCCTGACCTTGTCCAAGTCCATGGGGTTTCTCTGAGAAGCCCTTGCCTTCTGCCGCCTTATGGTAGTCCCCAAGTTGCCAAGTTGCCTGGTGGGTGATGCGCTTTCTTTGATGATGCAGAAGCAGATGGTAGACAAAAAAATTTTCTTGAAATTTTCTTTTATGAAAGCATACACGAGAGGGTTGCGAATAGAATTGAAGAATCCTATAATCTGGACAATTGCGAAGATCATTTTGACTGTCACATCATCATACTCCTTTTCAAAATTACCTGGAAAGGAAGAAGGAAATGTGCTGTAAGCACAGAACAGCATTAGTGCCTGTTTATCCTAATTGTATCCAATCCGCCATTAGAAGCTCTCATTTAAAGTCAACAAAAGACCTTGCTGGAGGGTCTTAATGTTAACAGTAGGGCTTTATCAGCACAGAAAATCATAATCTGCCACCTAACCCTGCTTTGTGCACATGTAAATAAGGACAGAGACATTCAAAAGAGGCAATTCATGAGCCAAAAAACTTGCCCAGTAGCCAAGAAATAGAAATCTTCAAGTCTGCAAAGCATAGGCCTCATTTATTCAAGTAGTTCTTCCGGCTCCAAGCTTTAT